GTACCTCATTGTTGGATGATGGGAAGCAATTGAATCAAGCACTCAGAGTTTTACACCTCTTCCCCTCTCAGTTATATCCTCAGTCTCCTAGGAGACCTTCATCAGGTCATTTGCTTGTTTATCTGTGAAACAAAATGTTTTAAACTGATGACTCTTAGTACCCTTCAGCAGGAATCACCCTATTTTTTTAATTAACATTCCAATGAAGGCTGCAGCTTTAGTTGTTATTTTTCTTTCTCATTTCTTGGTCCATACTTTGTCTAGAATTTAATTCTGGACAGAACTTTGCCAGGTTTTGCTTGTCCATGTAAGGGACAGTATGACATGGTTTCTTGACTCTAGAACAGAGCTAGCAGGGCATGGGCCTTCACACAAGTATTGATGGTTGTTGTGGGTGTAAGGCTTGTTTGTATATATATATATATATATATATATATATATATATATATATATATCCTCTCTGCCAAGGTTGATTGATGACTTCATGATTATCAGAGATAGCACAAGTCCAGGAAGGCATAGGTGTGTATATGTCTCAGCAAAATGGTAGAATGCTGTGACTTTCAGGACAGCCCATAAGGCTATGGGAAGGAACTCTGAAAACATGAATATAAAAACATACAATTTCTTAACTATGCAAACTATAAAGATGCAATATAAATTGTATAAGGAGCTTCAGAGATCTAAAGGAACAGAGGCAGCTGCACTATGAGTTATCTTGTCAAAAAGACACTAAAGAAGGAAGTAAAGAGATTTAGGGAATGGTGATTATAAGGCAAGATGCCACTAGCTAAATTTTTGTTGTTTATGCTTACAAAGTCACATAGATTCCTGAGTTCAAGGTCAGCATGAGACAGAGGGAGGTTAGGTCCAGGCTCAGGTGTGGTAGGAATAGTAGTTTCAGGATGGGGTCCCCCAGCTATCTTATTGTCTATGTCTGTGCTTGCTGTCTCTTTGTAAGAACCAAGGTGCTAGGGTCATGTGATGCTGATTCATGGGATAGTCCAAAGAGAGCCTGTAGTAATGACTGAAGATATGTAAATAAAAAACCGGGCTCTTGATCTGCAAGGGATGAGCTATCCAGAGAGTTCTTAGAATAGCAAGAGAAAGTTGTCTCCAGCAGAGCAGAACACAGTGAGCAGTCTGAAAAGCTGTCTTGATCATGAGCAGGAGAGAGAGAGAGAGATGGAGGGAGGGAAGGAGGGAGGGAGGGAGGGAGGGAGGGAGGGAGGGACAGACAGAGAGACAGAGAGACAGAGAGAGACAGAGAGAGAGAGAGAGAGAGAGGTCTGAAAAACAGAACATAGGCCATCAACTTGGAGCCATGACTTGACTTCAACTTGTTTGGTTCACTCCTCCCAAACACCCCTTCTCTCAGCAATCTCTATCCAAGCCAAGGCTGGTCCTTGGCAGAACTTAGATTTATACTCATTTTCTTTGCTATCACTGCAGAGTAGAAATAAAATATCACTAAAAATTATTTTTGTAAGAATATTTGTCAAACACTTCCAGCCAATGCATGACCTTTTATTAGTACCAAAAAGTATTCTTTACTGTTATGAATATTTATAGTACTGTCTTAGTTTTCTATTGCTGTGAAGAGACACCATGACCAAGGCAACTCTTATAAAAGAAAGCATTTAATTGGAAGCTTACTTACAGTTTCAGAGTTTTAGTCCATTGTCATCATGGGAGCATGGCAGCATTCAGGCAGGCAAGGTACTGGAGCAGAAGCTGAGAGTCACATCCTGATCTACAGACCAAGGGATAGGTGTGGCTTGTCTTAGGCTTTTGAAACCCCAAAGTTCAATCCCACAGCAAGGCCACAGCTCTTAATCCTTTTAATCCTTTCAAAGAGTTCTACTTTCTGGTGATTTAACATTCAAACATAGGACCATATGAGGAGCATTCTTACTTAAACCACCATACACTCTAAAGGATATGTAAGACACAGCAGTTTGGAATATATCCTGGCTTCAAATTCTTAGTAAAAACATACACTGAACACCTTTAAATCTTAATTTTAAGGTAAAAGAGTCAATCAATTTCAGTAATTATCCTGTGAAAGAGACAGATATTAAATATATCATTTTGAAAAAAAGTAATTAAGATACAGGACAGTAGTGAAGTAAAAGTTGGAGTTGTTAAGATTGTTAGACAGGATGTCTGACCTTGGAGGGAAGATGTCCTTGAATGCTAGCTTCAGTTACTTGCTTTTCTTGATCTTAAGATCTCTCACAGTACAAGGAATTTCCCACTTCCTTACAATAGAAACGGTGAGCAGTTTGATACCGAGTTCCACAGTACAGTTTTCAATGATCCCATGTGCCCTCTAATCTTACACTAATTTATAAATTATTCTAAGAGACTTGTTTGTCTTCAATACTTGCACAATAGATACTCAATAATCCATCCATAACATTTTGGAATTTGGAGATAAAACTCTCATGTTCCTGCACTGAAACAGCCATGGTTGTGATGGGGAGACTTTAACAGTCATCAGCATCGAGGATTTTAAGATATAAATCCTTTACAAACTCGGAAGTGTTAGCAAGTGAGGAAGATTGATGTGTATTTCTGGTGCTGGGTTCTGTTGAATTCTGAAAATGGTAGTAGAAGATACAAAGCTCTTTCTTCACTTCATTTTTTACTATTTTTTAAAGGTTATAATATAATAACATTTTCTTCTTCCCTCAAATACCTCCCATGTGCCCTTCCCAGCCCTCTTTCAAATTCATGGCCCTTTTTTCCACTAATAGTTTCATATATAAACTAGTCTGTGTGCCCTTCCCTAGAAAAGGCCACCTGTCCTGAACTTCCCCTACCCCCACTTTTCTCATTTGCCAATGAGTCTTTGTGTAAGGTTGAAACCTTGTGGATTTTTCCCCATCCACTTTGGCTTATCCATTGGTGTCACCCTTGTTCAACTCTCATTTATACAACCTTTCTGGTGAGACTTTATGGGTACAAACTTTCTGATCATCACACTTTTACAATCTTTCTGCTCCCTCTTCTGAAATGTTCCCCAGCCCTAATTGTGCGACTGTTTTGTAGACTTATCTATGGCTATTGCAGAAGACTCTACAACTTATACTTTACTAAACGAGCACAATCCCTAAAAACAATCTATAAAAATTTTTAATTGTACACTTAGATAAGTATAGTCTTTATCCCTCATCAAGAAAACTTCTTTTGTGAGTCATGAAAATAATTACAGAAAACCACAACTGATCCAAATGCAGAGAGCTGTATGAATGCAGGTGAAGGTTGTCCATGCAAGTGAAGCAAGTGTCAGAGTTGGAGGGTTATAGAATTGGGACTATGGGATGTGATAAACTACTTTAAAAATGTCAGACAAAGAATCAAGGCTCTGGCTAAATCATCACTGGAATGTGTATCTCGAAGAATGGATCAGAAGATGTTTGACTATGGGACTGAATGAGATAGCTGGACAAACTCAGATTTACAGCAATAGATGTAAGTAGAAGCATTAGAAGAAGTGTAAATTTTAGGATGTACTGAAGGTTAAGACCAGATTCAGGCAGTGTGAGAAGAGAGAATGTTGGGAGTTTCACAGGTATTCTCAGTTCATCTGCAAGGTGGAGTTTCATTATCCGTGGCAGACACCCAAAGAGGAAGCTCAGGTTGGAATGTGGGTAGATGGATGCTGTTATGACTCTGTACCCCTCAGAACTGCCTGGAGAGAAGCTGTAACCGATGAGTGTAGATCCCAGAAAAAGGGTCTAACCAGAGTATATCACCTTGGGACAAGGGAGTTATAATCATATAAAGCAAGTTCTTCTATATCTCCTTGATAGGAGTAGTCTTCCACCAGAAAGGGTACAGTTTAAAATCTGAACTACATAAACTCTTAATAATCGCATTTTAAGATTTGGCTGACAAAATAATGAATGTATGAAGCCATCACAAAAAAAACCAACGCAATCATTATAGTTTGTGTGAGTGTAAGGGAGATATAGCCATGCACACACCTATACTTGCATATGTCACCTCTTTAAAGAACTGTCCCCCAAAACAGAGGTGGTTCTGGTGGGAGGGTGTAATGGCTTCAAAGTATGAGCTTTAGTGTGTATGTGTCTTTGTGAGTGTGTGTGTGTATGTGTGATTTACTCTATGCAACATTAACACATTCCACAAAGAGTTATTTCCTTTGAAAAAGTCTAGGCCTTTTGGTCTTTATTGAAAAAATTTCTGTTTGTCAGAGAGGTAAAGGTTGAGTTAGATGTGATGACTATACTGGAGTATAATTATATTCTTAAAAATAAGTTTTTATTTCATTTTGTAGAAGGTTTTAAGCTATTTGCATATAAACAACACATTTAAATGGTAGCTAATGGGTAGCCAATTATTTCTCTGGCTGCATTCAAACCAGCTGGTAAAGGCCAGAAAAGGTATCCCTTTATCCTACCAGGATGACAAGCCATCAAAATGTGTCTTTTAAGTGAAGATGTTGCAAAGAAACAAGTATTGTTAGCCTGTGGGCACTTCAAAGGCACTGTTAATTTTCATTTAGGTTTACTTTTAACGAAGGGACGAATCCCGTATTTTCCCCCGGCCTGTTTTATCACTCTCTTCACTTACACTTGTCCTTCCTTTAATCTGGTTCTAGCATCATCGGAGTTGATGCTGTATGAAAAAGCTCCCAGAACTTGAGCAACCCTGGCCAGGCCGCCAGGTGACCGAGACTGGGTGGGGACCGGCGGAGTTTTGAGGGCGCGGAGCCTCTCGCATACCAATCTCCTCCCACCAGCATCTCTCGCCTGGAGGCGGAGAGGGCTGCAAACTTCGCTCCAATCCGCAGCCGCCCTCCCCAGGGTCCCCCTGCTGGGCGACCCGCCCGCTGTGGACCCGAGTTGGTGGAACTTTTCTGATAAACTGCTCCTGAGAGCTGGGGAGGCAAGCTCCCCGCCTCCCCACATTCCGGCTATCCTGCCCCCGCCTCCCGGTCCTCGCCCAGCTGCCCGCGTTGGTGATAGGACGAGTCCCGGGCGTGCATTGTGTGTATGCAAACCACCGCTCGGCTCCTGGGGCGGCTCTAGCTGGGACCTGGCTGCCGCTGCTGCTGGCGCTGCGGAGTAGGCTCCCACCTCGGATGCGGTCGCCTGAGCCAGAGCCGAGCGCTGTCATGCTCCTGCCGCGGGGCGGGCTGCAGCGTCGCCCCGTCGCTATATAAGCGCGAGGAGAGGGGGCACCCGGAGGGGCTGAAAATGAAGGTGCCCGCGCATGGGCCGCCGCTGATTGCCAACCCCTCCGGAGCTCGCTCCCGGCGCGGAGCCCGAGGCAGCCGAGGACCCGCCTTAGCCGCAGTAGCAGCTGGTTCAGCGACGCGGACGGCGGCGGCGGTGGCGGTGGCGCCCCTCGCGCCAGCGCGTAGAGCAGAGGCGGCGACTCCGGGGCCGCCGCTGGCCCCGCTGCCATGAGTTGTGCGGAGGTGATGTATCACCCCCAGCCGTATGGAGCGCCCCAGTATCTGCCCAACCCTGTGGCAGCTGCAACCTGCCCTACAGCCTGCTATCATCCGGCTCCCCAACCTGGCCAGCAGGTGAGTCACCGGCCGAGCAGCCTTCCGGGGGCGGGGACGAGGGGCGCCGGGTATCGGTGTCAGGCTCACACCGTGCCCCGTCGGGTCCCGAGGCCGTGAAGGATGCTTTAGGATTTGCTGGGAACCATAGGAAGAAAAAGACACTCCCGGAAGGGCAGAACTGAGCATGGCAGGGCTGGGATCTCTGGAAAGGCTTTACCTGGCCGGGGGCTTATTTAAGCTGTGTCACCTGGACTCAGAGACTGTTGCTCCCAGCTGCGCTGGTCCGTAGGACGCAGTTCCCTGAAGCTCACAAAAGGCATCTGTCTTAGGACTGTGTGAGTAAACTTTTAACTCAAATACTTTAGTTTCCTTGGGCAAGTAGAATATTCCAGCGTTTTCTGGAGTAAGTGGCGGGAGTGTGCGACTGATATAGCAGAGGTTACCTGAACAGGAAACTCATGTAGTGACCGGTCTGGGACTTTTAGGGTGGAACACTGGTCGGATGTAAGACACATTTGGTGTTTCTAGAACTTATCCATTGCCTTTCTCCCTGCGGCTGTGATTTAGATAGGGATTCTCAAAAGGCTCTTCATTCACTTTCTATTCCTAACAAAGCACAGAGCTGGTTGGTGTTCATAAGTGGACTTGTGTTTCTTAGCTCAGAGGTAGCCAGGAGTATCGGCATGCCTGGGCCCCACCCAGCCAAGGGAATGAAAATGTTGGTAAAAAGGACCCGACAACTAGGAGATGATGAGAGGAGACACCGGAAAAACTAGCCACTAGGAATTCTTGAGATTACTCTGCGGCCACATAGCAAGTGCACCAAAATGTAGTTAGAACTATGTTAAAAACAATAAAATGTGCCTGTGACAAGGGGGTATACTGAATCCGGGATTGGAGTAGCCTAATTTTATCTAAACATAAAAATATGTCTAGATATAGTTAGAAAATAATGATTTACAGGGTTCTTTTGACTTGTTTTTCATTTCTTAGGAACTGTATGTTTTATTCTGGCCTTCAGGGTTTGACCCTTGGAGCAATCTGACCTTTGAATTTCTATTTTTCCTTCTTCCCTGTCCCTTTTCTAGAAGTATAGGGCTACTTTTTGGGAAAGAGACTATTACTCTGTTTGAGATTCAGTGGCTGTCAGATTCAGCTAACTCTGAAAGGGTACAAGTCCAGGATTCACCATTAAACATTTCCATCTTCATGTAGACCAATGAGACACAAGACAGAAGAGCCTACTTCCTTACTAGTATTTATTATTTACTTTAAAATTAGATAGCTTTACCACTTTAAAACAAAATTACCTTCGATAGGAGAGATGGGGAAACATTTTCTTGTATTTTGTGGTCAAGAGTGGCAAACAAAACACATATAAATAGTAGTGTCGTAGGTTCAATCCAGGCAGAGACCTTGGGTATTGCTTCAGCTCTTATGCTGTAGAGGGCTTCAATTATCAGTTAGAATGTGGATGAACAAGAGTCTTAGATGTTTCTAAATATTCAGAGAGATAACTTTCTCTTCTGAAAAAGTAAGGAATAGTAGGTGTTGCGAGTATGGTTGTCTCTTATGGAATTATAAATTTAATTCCATTGAAATGAGTCTGTAGTAGAGGTCAGCATTGTAATTCTCCTTCAGTAAGAAAAATCAAAGGATGTATTAGGCAAATTAAAAATCATTAATCATTGAAGTTAGTTTTCAATGTGAACTGCCTCTGAGTGCTTTATCTCATTTTGCAATAGATCTACGATTGAGCCCCAAATTCCATTCTTTTGCTAAATTATCAACAAGCTGGCAAAGGAAATAAGAATAAAGCACAGAAAGAGCCTAAACTGTCTGTTGTGAAGTTTCACAAATGCTCAGCTTCTGGTATATTCTGAGCGTCTATAGACACCATTTATGTAGTGCCTGAGTCTACTGTAAGGATTTAGTTGAGAGGTGCACATGGAAACTTGCACACATCTCTCATTAAATTGGTTTCTTTGATATTTAAATTTTTATCTAAGTACATATAGTATTCGACTGTTATTGAACTAAAGAGACTTAACAGCATCATTACTGTTCTTTTACTGTTAGGGCTTATTTTGATGACCTATATTTTTTTATTGAAAGAAAGAGTAAGTCAAGAAATTCTTATCAGCCTGACAGCATTTTTAGACTATGCAGTGCGTGGGTGAAGTGGGCCTAATATTGACTTGGCCCTAATGCAGTCATCTGAGAATACATATTTTTGTTGTTTTTGCATTCTGTAAGGTTTTATCATTATTATCCATGAAAGTTGCTTGCTTGGCACATGGGATGTGACCCCCTAATGGCATTTTGCTTGGGAGATAAAAATGAGGGCTACATCTCTTACTGCATTAAACAACAACAATCACAGTAAAAACAACTTGATTTTTTGAGGTGGAAGAAAAATTGAAACATAAAAACGACAGTAATCCAAAAAATATTGTGATCATTCATGAAATAATGATGCCAGGAAAATGACATTTTCCCTGGGACTTCTACATTCAATTGCAACAATGTATCCCTTAGATGTTTTCTCTCCTCAAAAGTGGGGATCTTAAGTACTTGTGTGTTTGTTTTTCCTTTTTCTGGAAGGCAAGGGGATGGAATGCAGGGTCTCACACGTGCTAGGCACTCAGCCCACCTGTAAACTATACACACTCCTAGCTCTGAAGTTCTTACATGTTAGTTTATCAAATAGCTCATTATGATTGATCTTAAGCATGGAGTGCATTTTTCCTCTCTGATTTTTTTTATTTTTAGAAATGAAAAGAATTTATTTTCTAGCCATATGTTCTATCAGCTTTTCTGCTAAATCTGGAAGTTTGAAGCATAGATTTTTTTTTATTGAACATATTGTATGTGTTGGCAGGTAATAGATGAGTGTTTAAAAAACACCAATAAGCTACATATAAATGCCACACTATAGTGTACTAATCCAGTTTAACCAATCAAACTAATCTGTAGTGTCTGAGTACATTTATAATCCTTGGATTTAATTCTTAGAAATTGTGTGCTGGGCTTAAATCTTCCAGAGAGCTTTACAGAAGCAGAATTTAGTGAGAGATTCTAAGCAACTAAGTCCTCAGCCTCAGCATCTCTCCACAGCCTCTGGACAGCCCTCCTCCATATCTCCCTGGGAGAAGTCTTGACTCAGTCTCAGTACATGCTCTGAAGCTGATGACACTGCAGAACGTGAACAGAAAGGAATGTGCTTGTATTCTACTAGTGACAGTAGGAAACAGCACAAAGTTTCGAAATTCGACGTGTCAGGAAAAATTGAGGACAACAATATGAAATCATAAGATTCCCTTCATACTCAGTGGACTTCTCATCTAAAATGCAGACAGTCTGTTGTCTAAATCCTCTCCCATATTAAGAATGTTAAAACTCGGGAGGTCACTTAAAGTCAAGCTTTCAGACTTACACATGGTTTTAGAAGAGATGACAAAGAGAGAACAGTAGCTGAATTTCCACGTCTATATAGATTTTAATGGTCACCGTCAGCTTCCTATAAGTTAGAACATGTTTATTCTGTCTTCTTTAAGGATAGGAACTGTGTGGGAAAAAAAGTTTGATAGGCAAGATTCCAGTGATGCTTGTAAAGAGTTTTCAAACTCCTTGTCTGTTCTCTGTTACCTTGGTTAAGTTTTAAAATGACTCTGAGATTCTGTTTTGGACATGGGAAAATCCTGGGGGATAGGAAACATATTATAAACGGGAAAATCCAGATCCATGGGGTTGAAATTCCTGGCTAAAATTTCTATGCTGATTGGTAACAGAGTAAGGACCAGCAGATCTCCTTTCCTGGAGTAGCGTCATTGTACCATGGCATGCAGTTTCCCAGACCTTTTTTGTCTCCTCATTATACAACAGGTTATTTTTTTTTGTCTTTGCACCCCAATCAGCTTTTTTGATAAGAAAGATTAATATGAAGTAGATTCTTTGGCCTTGGAGCTTGATATTCTTTCCCATTCTTGGGTAGTGTACTTTTGTTTTCCTTAAGTTTAAAAATTCCAATGCCTCTTTGCAAGCAGTTGTATTATGCTAATGACTTTTGCTGTCTATGTATTCTTAAAGAAGTTGTGTATCTACTTAGAAAATGACCATTTGTTTATTGAAAATAAAATGCAACCAATGGCTTTAACAGTCACATTTATGTGTCTTAGATTTCATTAGTATTCAAATATAAGATTAGATTTATTTGGAGGTAAGAGCTCAGTTTTAATCTAAATAGTTTCATTGCCCAGTCAAATTATTTAAGGCAGAGGATTTAATTGTCTTGAAACTGTAAGCAAGGTCTTAAATATATTTGTAAGGATTTATACAGAACTTCTTTGAAAAAGAGCAGTCTCTCTAATTCCATGTTACACAAATTAACTTGATGGCAAAGACTTGAAAGCTTAGGTTGTCCACTGTCTCCTGTTCCTAGTGACTTCTCAGCAAAAAGAAGTCCAGAACAGAAATAGTTAAGCTTAAAAGTAAGCAAACTATTGACAGAGCAGTGATTTACCATGGAGATCACAATGATGCCAGAGAGGATGGGACTGAAATCTTCAGAGTCTCACATAGCAAGCATGTATTCACCAAGAAGTCAGGCCAGCAGGAGGTAGGACCACCAGAAATCGAAGAGAATGGATTTGACTGATGTGCAAAAAGCACCCATTTTTTTTCTAGTATTTGGTAGACCCTCCCCACAGCTTGAGATGATGCAGAGAGGATGCATATCAAGGGAAATGGTGTTGGAGCAGTAGCCCTGCTGTTTTACTTTAACATCTCTTCCCACTACCACAGATGAGACACTAAACTAACAACCCCATTGGACCATCTGCAGAAAGAGAATTTTCTAAGAGACAAAAGCAATTATGTGCATGATGCTAGGGCAGGTCCCAAAGTAAACCTGTCAGGTAGAGGACAGTCATTTAAAACATGTTCCTGAATTGAATCTCCTCCCCGACAGGTCCTGTTTTCAGTGACCTTCTTCATTTTAAAATCTCAGAATGTATACA